AAAAAAAAAAAAGTCTAAGTTTTCAAGATTTTTCTTTCAGGGATAATACATTTTAGTTTCATATCTAAGAAATCTTTACCTAACATAAGATCACAGATTTTTTTGGTATGTTTTTATTTAAATACTTAGTAGTTTAGGCTTTGCATTTAAGCTACAATCCATTTTCAGCTAAATGGTGTATGAGTTAAGGTTCATATTTTAACATATGGCTGTTCCAGCACCATCTGTTTAAAAGACTATCCTTTTCTCCAGTGAACCACCTTTCCACCCTTGTCAAAAACTGAACATATACTATATATATGCGGGTCTGTTTCTGGCCTTGATATCAGGTGGGAGTCCTCCAACTTGTTCTATTTAAAAAAAATGTTTTGGCTATTCTGATTGTCCCTTTCCCTAAAGATTTTATAATCACCTTGTCAATTTCTACAAAAATTCCTGCTGGTGTTTTGACTGGAATTATGTTGAATCTATAGATCAATCTGAGGGAAACTGACATCTTAAAATGACTCTTTCAATCCATTATCCTAGCATATCAATTTTTTTTAGGTGTTAGTTTTTTAAAATCAGTTTTCTACATTTCAGCATACAGATCTCAAACGTATTTTTATTAGAGATCATGTTTTTTGGTGCTAATATGATTTTTAAATCTCTCCTAGGTAGAAGTTCAGTTAACTTCTGCATACTGATCTTGCAAGTAGTCTACTAGTTTTCTTTTACATGGCTTTTCCACATAGGCAATCACATCATCTACAAATATAGTTTTAGGCTGCCTCAGTTGCATCGTGACAAATGTACCTCCTTGGAGAGAACTCCGCAGTCTTAAAATAGAAACTTCTATTTGCAACAAACCCTCTATAGCAGTGGTTCTCACCCTTCCTGATGCCGCAGCCCTTTAATACAGTTCCTGTGGAACTGTATTATTCATTTTCAACCCATGGAACTTTTTTCCCTTGCCTGTTGCACAATGACTCTAATACAGTGTTGAAGAAGAGGAGTCTTGCTCCCAGTCTTAGAGGGAAACCTTATTCTTCACCATATGTAGATGTTAGCTAAAGGCTTTTTAAGGCTCAGCACTTGTGGGTCAAGTGACTAAGGCACCAGCCACATACACCTAAGGTGGCGGGTTTGAATCCAGCCCAGGCCTGGCAAACAATGACCACTGCAACCAAAATAGCCAGGCGTTGTGGCGGGCGCCTGTGGTCCCAGCTACTTGGGAGGCTGAGGCAGGAGACTCACTTGAGCCCAGGAGTTGGAGGTTGCTGTGAGCTGTGATGCTACGGCACTCTACCCAGGAGGATAGCTCAAGGCTCTGTCTCCAAAAAAAAAAAAAAAAAAGGCTTTTTAAAGTAACTATTCCTTATCAGATTTATTGTTAGATTACTCAAGAGTTGCTTATTTTTTCAAATCCAAATAAGGGTTGAATTTTGTTTTGTTTTTGCACCTTTTGGAGGAAAAATTTAAAATTCACACGCTATAATATTCACCCTCTGAAAGTATACAGTTCAGCAGTTTTTCATATTTTTTGCAACTTTTGAGATGATCACTTAGTTTTTCTTTCTTTGTATGCTTATACAGTGAATTAAATTGATTTTAAAAATATAATTGGGTTCGTTGCCTATAGCTCAAGCAGCTAGGGCAACAGCCACATACACTGGAGCTGGCAGGTTCAAATCCAGCCCAGGCCCGCCAAATAATGACTACTACAGTCAAAAAGTAGCCGGGGATTGTGGTGGGTGTCTGTAGTCCCAGCTACTTGGGAGGCTGAGGCAAGAGAATCACTTAAGCTTAAGAGTTTGAGGTTGCTGTGAGGTGTAATGCCATGGCACTCTACGCAGGGTGATAGCTTGAGACGCTATCTCAAATAAATAAATTAATTAATTAATAAAAATTAAAAGAAATCAGATCAACCTTTTGTTTGTGGATCAATCCCACTTGATCATATTTTTTTCATATATTAGTAAGTGAAGTCACTTATTAATATAATAGTTACCGTAAGTCCCTAGGACCTTATAATGAACAGTACCCTGAATATACTTATTTTCTTACTGTTTTTGAGTAGAAACTAAGAATGTGAATGTCTTAAATGCTCATAAAATTTACCATTTAGAAGGAAACTTGTTTTAAAGTGCCTTTCTAGCTTTCATCTTATAAAATCACTTGGATCAAAAGCTTGTAGATCACATGTAGTCTACAACATAATGATAAAATGGGCATTAAAGAACTCCTAACAAGAAAAAAACCTTAAATTATTTATCTGTTTTTCTTTAAGACAGAGTCTCCCAGGGTAGAGTGCCATGGCATCATAACTCACAGCAACCTTAAACTCCTGGGCTCAAGCAATCCTCCTGCCTCAGCCTCCTGAGTAGCTGGGACTATAGATGCCTGTCACCAATGCCCAGCTAGTTTTTCTACTTTTGGTAGAGCCGGGGTCTTGCTCAGGCTGGTTGGAGGGTCTTGCTCAGGCTGGTCTCCAACTCCTGAGCTCAAGCAATCCATCTGTCTTGGTGTCCCAGAGTGCTAAGACTACAGGTGGAGCCATCATGCCCAGCCTAATTATAGTAAGAGAAAATAACTCTAATAGCAAAGACCTTTTAAGTGATTGGCTTCCCTCTGTTATGGTGGCCACACCACAATTCCTCTGTAAATGCTTATAAAATTTAGGGTAAGAGGTCCTGGTTTGAAATTTCATTTGCATTAACAAGTATTCCTTAACTATTTGTGTTACAGAACAATAAAAATAGAAAACTTTTCTATAGGTATTTTTATTCACATTTTACATAAGACTAAGAAAATGGCATTTATTCAATATTTAAAAATGGGGGAATTAAAGCAACATGCTTTCCCTCTCCCAAACACTGCTCTGCTTGCTTTAGTCCTTGTAGTGTTAAGATTCTGTTTCCCAGAGTCTGGAGGTGAGACCTACAGGTTGCTTTTAGCTCTTCAGAGAAAAGGAAACTAAGAAAGATCTTCGTAAGAACATCACACATTAAAAGGAAGCGTAGATTTTTGTCTCTTACATGGGGAAAAACAGATGTACATTCTTCTTCCAAAGCAATTTGTGTTCATGATAATTGAGCAAAATGGTAGAATTTTTTAGTTGTGTGTTTTTAGAATGTAAAATTTATTTGAAAATCAGATAATTTAAAAGGTTTTTTGCATGTTAAATGGTTAAAAGTAGTGTTATTAGACTAAAAAAAATGCAAAACCTTTTTTATAGAATAGTATAAATGTTTATTTTTTGTATGATTTACTTTGCGGTCTTGTTTTTACAATATAGAAAAGTGTATTCTTTGAATAGCTCTAGTAAATATAAATTTAATCTTTCTACTTTGGGGTGTAAATAGAGCTAAAAAATTATATACCCAACCCTCCCCGAATAGTTTTTATAATTGTTGAATTAATGTGGCTATTCCTCTTGTTCAGCAATTTGATGCAAACGACTAAATACAAAAAGTTGTTTAGTAAGTACTACACAGGAAGGAACGGCTTAACAGTTTAGATCGCTTCTTGAAAATCAGAAAAACTGGTAGCATTTGATTGCACCTTCAAATTTTTACAAGCAAAACATTCTTAAGCAATGCCATCATACATAATCTACAATTGTTATTGAAATTTCACAAACATTTTCTGCACACTGTATATAAATACACATCACAAAGGTGCAATTGGAATTAACACAGAATATGTACAAAATGAACAAAGTTTAGGTTCGGACCAAAAACGTATTGCAATCTTTTGAAAAATAACTTGATTAGATATTATTTTATCCTCTTACACTAATTTACATTTATACAAATTTTAATTAAACATACTAGATTGAGGTGCTAAGAATGTTCGCACTATCTACACTTAAAGTTACTGCACTATAATTTTATAAATCCAAATTTCAAAAGGAAGATACTTTTATGAATAACGGAATCCTCTTTTGGATGACTTAATTTCTATCACCTATACCTTGCCTGTTCATATGAACATATATACACACTACATACAAACTAGAGAGTCCTTGTAGGAAATGTAATAATCATACACTAATAATTACTGAGGATTAAGGTACCCAACAAAACGCCTGAATTCCAACATGGTTTTTTGTCGTCATAAAATCAAGAGTCCCATCATAAGAGGCTCCTAAATTCATAGAGCTTTAGAATTACTGAAAATGATTTAGATTTAGTAATTATAGAGAAGTACTCATACCTTTAGCTTACCAAATCACTGGGTAAAAGTAATCCCATATGAAACTTCCCTTATAAAATTTTTCCCACTATAATTTTGCAAGCTTGGTTAGGAGGCCCAGAAATCAAGTAAGAATCATGTATTTCAAACTTCTTAGTTCAAAAGTCTACAAAGAGAACTATTTGTATAGATGAAAAGTCCTTCTCCAAATTCATCTCTTATAGCTTCCATATTCTTTATTTCTTCATCTAGACCTAATTTTATACTTGATAATTATGTAAGGTTCTATATTATCACTACATTATAAGTTTACTTCTTATACACACCTCTTATATTAATAGTACCCAGGAATCACTTTGACAATTTATTATCATTTCAAATGCATACCACCTCTTTGAAAGAAAATGGGAGACATCCCAGAGCATTTGTTAGCCATTCCTTATTATAGAAACTTATTATATAACTGTCCATCCTCGGAGTATCATTTATTGTCCCTTAATATTTTGTATGTTTAAAAAAAAATTTTTTTTTTGAATTTTAAAAGTGTGCCTGGGGATTGCTTCCCTTCTGACATTCCCAAAGCAACAAGAGGATATTATTCCAGAATCCACCCTAAAAACCTGATTTTTCTTTAACAGTGATTTACTAAATGCAAAATGTTATTTACTAAATGCAACTTCTGAGTATATTTCTTAAGAATTTTTTTATATTAGACATTCTATCTGAATATATTCTAGATCTAGACTCAAAGGATGGCTGGATAATAACCACTGCTGCTTTGGCTTTCTCTACGGAACAAAGTCATACAACACCATACATTATAAATTATGGTAATTTATAAATGTTCTTTGCCAATAGAATCAGAGGGATAAAACATCTAATTCTTAAAAAACCCAAGCAAATTAAAAATCTATATAATACAATAAAGAAAACGTCAATTTAGAAGGGCATAAGCTGATTTAACTAAGATATAAAACATGCTAATTTCCTCATTTAAAATTTCTTCTCTTTCAGTGTCTCTCAAAACAAGGACTGAATTAAAATACAGTAATTGTTAAACTATCTTCCAGAAAAATCAAGTGTCCTTGCACCTTAAATTTTCTGTACTGTTCCATTTTATCAGGCTTTTGTGTTAAGAGTTAGCAATTCATAGCACAAGGGTCACTTTTTGCTTTTCCTGCCGAGTTGATGACGCTCATCAAACATCGTCCGAATTCCTCAAGTATCATCCTTTCAGCTGCTGCCTTTGATTTTCCCTTCTTGTCTGCCTGCTCTGCCTGGGCAAGAAGGCAATTACACGTGGCTTCAGCTACTTCTTTAGTCACAAATGTAAATGGCAATCTGAAATGATTTTTGAGAGAGAGATAATGATAGTGCTGAATGACAAAAAAAGTGGGTAAAATGAGCACCACAATTTGCTTGTACATCCTAAGGAACTTTAAAAAGTTAGATATGGTTTTATTATCAAGAGTATTTTAAAATATTGTTTAGGAACTATAACATTTAACATTAAATACATGACATATTACCTATGCAAGGTTATCTGTTTAACTAAAAGATGTAATTCTATATGCAGGCTGGATATTTCTAACATAAAAGTCCCTCAAATTCATGAATGTAAATTTCATTGAGTACAGGCTTCATTTATTCACTGCTGTTTCTCCAGTGCCTGGAATAGTGCCTGATGTGTAGAGATATTGCATGAATATCTGCTGAATGAATGAATAATATTGGGAATCAAAAGAGATATCTCGGGCCACATTGACAATAAAACACTTTACCACACAGTTGCTGACGTTGTTTGTAAAAAACAACCAAGAAAATGTACCAGAATTCCTCACTGTTCCATCACAACAAACAAAACAAAACAATGGGGGAACCCAAATTCTGTTCTGCACAGAATTACATTCATAAATTCCTGAACTAGTTATTAAATCAGAGCAGTCCACCACTAGGCTTGCTATATATACTGTAGACAAGTCAAGAGTCAAGGCCTGCAAGAGATTAACTCAAGCAACCTAACCTAACTACTAACTCAGTAACCTATAAGCAGTCACTAGTAAAGTACACGGCAAGAGTAAATCAAGTCTGCAATGAAGGCTCACTCTGACATGGGGAAGTAATTGAGAATTCAGGCTGTTATGCTATTGTACAGAAATCTTTAACATACACAGAAGCACTTTAAATTAGAAAATATTAATATTATAATTTTTTTTTGGAGACAGGAGCCTCAAGCTGTCCCCCTGGATAGAGTGCCGTGGCATCTCAGCTCAAAGCAACCTCCCACTCCTGGGCTCAAGCGAGTCTCCGCCTCAGCCTCCCAAGTAGCTGGGACCACAGG